GGATCTCTGATTGTGCTGTGAACAACTGATGATTTTAAGGTCAGTAAATGTGTTCAGCTTTGTTAAGGAGAGGACGAGTCCAGGTCCTCATTCTGTTGAGGGCAGAGTGTTGAAAAGGTGTGCTAGACAGCTCCGTGGCCTTTTTTCCTTTATTTTTTGCAATTGCCATTAAATCAGCAATAGGTTCCTAGAATCTGGAAAGAATCGGCTGTCGTCCTAGTGGCCCAAGTCAAATCTCCTAGTTCACTCAATGATTATAGGCCAATAGTGCTCACCTCACCGGTTATGAAAACTTTTGAACAGATTGTGAAAAACAAGACAGAGGCAGAGGTACGGGATCAGAGAGACCCATTTCAGTATCCCCTAAGGGTAAGCAGGGGATACAATATGCCTTCTTAACAAATGGCTCCCAGCATCTTGAGGACAGCAAGACTCATGCTAGTTTGCTAGTTATGGAGTTTTCCTCATTTAATTGTATTCAACCATATTTACTGGCAACAAAGCAACTGCCTAATTTTGGTCTGGATTACTGATTTCCTTACAGAGGATAAGAGTCAACAGTGCTTTTATAACAAGCTGTACTCTTCCACTGACTCCTCACAAGGGTACATGTTGTCTCCTTCACTCTTTGTTCTTTGTTCATAGAAATGGTTGTAAGAGTTATCACCACTCAAGACATAATGAAATGTACAGCTGACTCTGAGCAGTGGCTCTGTGGCTCAGGATCTGCGCCTGTGGCTGGAAGGTTGCTGGTTTGAATCCTGTGGCTGGCAGAGGAATCCTACACCGTTGGGCCCCTGAGCAAGGCCCTTCACCCCAACTGCTCCAGGGGTGCTGTATAAATGGCTGACCCTGCGCTCTGACCCCCAGCTTCTCTCTCCCTGTCTGTGTGTCTCATGGAGACCAAGCTGGGGTCTGTGAAAAGACAAATTCCTAATGCAAGAAATTGTTCTTTTTACAAGCAGAAGGGTGGAAATGTGTTTGCTGCTCGTTGTGAACAAAATGTATTTAAAGTTGAATGTCTCTTAAACCACAGATATGGAAACTGATTCAAGGAAGGACCCTCAGAAACTGGGTCTTTGGAGGAGATAGTAGATAAATAATCTGCGGACTGTTCTGTACTGTAAATTAAATGTTGGGGCAAACGTTTATTATATTTAGGAAAAAAGGCAACAGCATCTATTTTGCTTAAGAACGTTTAAGCATTTTAAGGTTGTTAATTTGTTGTTGATCGTGTCTTATCAGTTTTTTGATTGAATCTGCTGGACTTTGATACTCTGGCTTGCTGGTTTGGGAATCTAAATCTAACATCATAACATCACTTTATTAGCCCTATACAATTTCTTGCATGAGGAATTCATCTTTTCACATACCCCAACTTGCTCTCCATGACACACACAGACAGGGAGAGAGAAGCTGGGGGTCAGAGCACAGGGTCAGCCATTTATACAGCACTCCTGGAGCAGCTGGGGTGAAGGGCCTTGCTCAGGGCCCCAGCGGAGTAGGAGTTCTTTGCCAGCTGTGGGATTTGAACCAGCAACCTTCCAGCCACAGGCACAGATCCTGAGGCACAGAGCCACTGCTCCACCCCTCTGGGGAGTAAGTACAAACTGGGCAGTGCTGTCTGTCACTGGTCACTGGTGCCATGGCTAGCAGTCAGGAGTCTTGTGTAAAGCATATTCTTTCCTAGATGACCCTTCACTCCCTTAGTAAAATTAATTCCATTTACTCCCTCAGAAAGCAGCCATGGTGGCTCAGA